GCGCTCGCGAGCACCCTTCTGAACGCTAAAATGACAAATGGGACACCCTACGGTCTTGTGGACTTAACGGACACGCGCACGCGGCGGCCATTGTAAGTCCGTAAGACCGCAAGTGCACATGAAGTGTTCCATTTGGGACAGGGCCAGGTGGGAGGAGTTGGATCTGGGTCCAACCTCGCCCCCTGGATCTTGTGTTCTGCAGTAAGGACCATATAAACCTGTAATAATTTCTTTCTTCTGTTGAACATAAAAGAAGATAATGTGGGTAACCAAACAGTTTCTGGTCCCCATTGACTCTGATAGTTTTTTTTTTTTTACCTTACTATGGAAGTTACAACCAGCAGCTGTTTAGTTGAGACACATTCTTCAAGGTATCTTCTTTTGTGTTCAACAGAAGAAAGAACTTTATGCAGGTTTTTATCCAGGTAAATTATGACTCATTTCATTTTTGTGTGAACCATACCTTTAAAGTGACAGACACATGCGTGCTTCTAAAGGTATAGGCCTATTGTTTTCTAAAAATTTAGATTGTCTGTTAATATAATATTCCATACATTATCAGAGCTTGGTTTATAATTAATGTTAGGCCCTATTTATTAATTTATCATTGATATTAATCATAAATATATACATAATAAATAATCATATATGTCATAAACAATTTGGCATTTTAAAAAGTTTAAAAAATGCTAACTTGTTTAGATAAAAATGGGACAAATGATTACATAATAATGTAATCCTAATTCAAGCAAATTTTTTTTTGCTAAATTAGGAAAAAAACCTTAAGCAAACTTATTTTGCCTCGCTGAAGGTGGCAACCCTACTTATCTTAGTCCAGAGTTTATATAATAAAAACTTAACGACTGCCATAAACTGTACTACTAGTTGTATTAAAGTTAAACTGCGTGATTGTGACGCTGATGTGTATGCCTCCCTCTTAGATTAGCAGTAGTACTTATGAAGAGCTTTTAACGCTCTTTCCCTTTGCAAAACAGTCATGATGAAGGTCCTAGAGGGATTTCTTTCTCTAGGTTTGTTGGCTGTTTTTTGGAGCTCCAGTAATGCAGAGCAACAGGAGTTCATGTTACTTGCGGGCCCTCTGACCACCAGCCAGACTTCACCTTCAGACGAAGACAATGTGTTTAACTGTGGAGGTCCACTGCCACAACAATCCAGAGCCTACTTCCTGTACCTTCAGAGCAGAGGGGTGACCCACTTTAAAGTTCCCCTGTCCTGGTCTCGCATCCTTCCCTCAGGTGATCCCAACCAGCCGCATGGAGACACTGTGCAGTGCTACAAGATGCTTGTGCAGCACCTGACTGAATCAGGCATCAAACCTCTGCTGGTGCTCCATCGTTCTGCTGTACCAGAACTCTTCAGAGCCAGATTTGGAGGCTGGGAGAATCTGTTACTCATGCAGATGTTTCAGCAGTATGCAGGATTTGTGTTCAATACATTTAGGGATCTTGTGGACACATTCATCACGTTCAGTCACCTGCATGAGCTACATGAAGTGCAACTTCAAAATGCTGTCCAGTCCCATGCAAATGTTTATAATGTTTATCATCAAATGTTCAAAGGTAAGGCATGAGTTTAATTAATTTATTAAATTAATGTTTCATGTACACAAAACAGATCAGGGATAGTTGTCATGGGCAAACTCTCAGTAACTCGGTAGGTTTTGAGTAAAAACTGAATGTAATATTATACAAATTATTAATTATGATTTCTGCTGAACCAAATAATGGGTGGATATTTTTGCATGATACTTTTTACATAAGTTTCATAAATAATATGCTAAATTGTTTTATGGTTTAAATATAGCTGGGGGGAAAAACTAAATAGCTAATTTAATGGCCCATTGTGACAACCCATGTAATGAAAAAAAAAATCCAAATAAACTTAATATTAGTATTATTATATTCACTGGAATAAAAGTGTGACAACAAGTCCCGTTCCCCCCGTTACATAGTCCTTTATAATAGTACAATGATACAATGATGGTGTCTTTCATAGTGATATATATATATATATATTTTTTTTTTTTTTTTTTCAGCCCTTAATTTTTCTCTTGGGATCAGAGCCAGTGATATTAACTCCATTTATCAAATGGGGTCAAAAATCATGGTAAGTTTTCAAGACAGTTCATCATATATTTTGCCGGTGAATAGTTAATATTATGTAATTTATCACATACTTCTCTTGTCTCATCTTCAGGCATATGTGGATTTCATCTCTCTGCATATGCAGTACAACTGCAAATTGGAGACACCTCTTACGGAGGAATTGAGGAAGTTACAGGTAATGATTTATTGTGGCTCTAAAAGTATTATATAATTATCTTTATAATAGATCATCCCATTGAATAGTCATCAGATTCCATAAGACTTAACTAAGCTGACTTTTAATATTCAAAGACTGCTTAAATTGGTTGATGTGACAGAACATTTCAGGACAGTGAAATGACACTTGACACTCTTGTTTCAGATTGGCAGTGGTCAAAAGCCCATCCTTATGTATCAGCTGACAGTCAAAGACTGTGATGGATATGAAGATTATTTCCAGCCACTTCATGCAATTTTTGGAAGTAAGAATTAGCATATTTCTTTAAGTGATGTGTCCAATTTCTAAGATGTTGTTTATGGAATTAAAATACCAGATGTTAACCTATTTGTCAGTATTACAGAGCAAAGACCTTGACATCATGGGATGTGACATCACACACCTTTTTGAGAAGCTAGATCAAGAAGAAACACTCAAAAGGTAAAGTTGAGACCAAAAAGGTACATATAATATAATAGCTATTTTTAAGTCAGCATAACAAGTATGTTCTCATTTAGTTTTCAGATGGAAAATACTAAGACAGTCTCCCATCAGAAATCAGCTTCTGCATTCTCATACCAAAAGGTCTGGGAGAAATTCAGAAGTCAAACCGAAGCTGAGCGCGATCAGTTTCTGAGTGCCTCGTTCCCAGTTGATTTTGAATGGTCCGTCTCCAGTGAGAGTTTCAAAGTGGAGGGTGGATGGGCTGAACACGGGAAGGGCGAGACCATATGGGACCGATTTAGCCATGAGGATCGTGTCTTTGAAAACCAGACCACTGATTTGGCCTGTGATAGTTATCACAAGGTGGACTACGATGTGTATCTGCTTAGGGGCTTGATGGCACCTAATTATCAGTTCTCAGTTTCCTGGGCTCGCATTTTCCCCACTGGACGCAAAGAAAGTTTGCTTGAAAAGGCTGTTGCTTATTATGACAAGATGATTGATACGCTCCTACAATCCGGCATCGAGCCCACTGTTGCCCTGCATCACTGGGACCTTCCCCAAGCTCTGCAGGACACAGGCGGCTGGGAAAACGACTCTATTGTGGAAGCTTTCAAAGTATTTTCTGACTTCTGCTTCTCTCATTATGGAGACAGAGTCAAAACATGGATCACCTTCGGCAGCCCGTGGGTAGTGAGCAACTTGGGCTACGGAACAGGGGAACATCCCCCAAGTGTGAAAGACCCAATAATCGCATCTTACAAGGTGTGTCTGACAATCTGAGAAAGCACCATATATTTTTATCATTTTAGAAAGTGACATTTATTGTGTTTGTTTTTGCAGGTGACACACAATATTCTAAAATCTCATGCTGAAGCCTGGCATATTTATAATGATAATTACAGAAAACTGCACGGTGGAAAAGTGGGCATTGCTCTTAACTCTGATTGGGCAGAGCCGAGGAATCCCTCAAGTGATCAGGATGTAGCTGCAGCTGAGCGTTATCTGAACTTCATGCTGGGCTGGTTTGCTCATCCCATATTTGTAGATGGAGACTACCCAGCCGTGCTAAAGGAACAAATTGAGAAAAAGAAAGATTTATGTGGTAAAGAGCTGGCAAGACTCCCTGTCTTCACTGAGGCTGAGAAACAAAGAATCCAAGGCACAGTTGATTTCTTTGGACTTAACCACCACACTTCCCGACTGGTTAGTGAGAGCTTGAATAGCTGCGATGCTGGACCGAATAACGTTGGGGACTTCCAGACTCATACTGACCCCACATGGCCCCCCACAGCTTCTGACTGGATCCAGTCTGTTCCGTGGGGTCTTCGACGATTATTGAACTACATCTCTTTGGAGTACACGTCCATCACAAAGGTACCCATCTACATCACAGGAAATGGAATGCCAACTGAATACAATGGCGATGTGTTCAGTGACACTGAGCGTGTTGACTATCTCAAAGCTTACATTAATGAGGCAATGAAAAGTAAGCATCTTAAGAAAACTTGTCAATGTTTAAAACTAAGACTATATTAGTCTTTTTAGTGATAACAGGTCAGTCTGTGTGAAATCAGAGAATTGGTGACTTAAACCTATAGTCTACATTTTTAAATTTAAAGTATTCATTATATAATATTCGTTATTTCCAGGCCAAAAACACCTAATCTAGGAAGCCATATATAGGGTATGTAATCTTAAAAATCTATGATTGTTGTCGGCCATACTTTCATATGATATGAGGACTAGAATTAATGAATAGTTCAGGGGGCTGAAAATATGAAAATGTTAGAATCCGCAATTATTTTACTGATCTTAGTTTTAGGTCACCAACAACAAAGCAGCAAGTTATGAACAATAGCCTTACAAGATTTGAGACAGACTGACTTAAACACAATCTTCTACCAATGTAACAAAATATTTGCCAAACCTTAATATCAGACTATATAGTAAAACATTGCTATCTATAGTTCACTAACTACATCTTTCTGTCCAAACAGCTGTGCATTTGGATGAAATTGACATCCAGAGGTTTACAGTCCAGTCTCTAATGGATGGATTTGAGGGTCCTCAAGGCTACAGTCAACGATTTGGATTGCACTATGTGGACTTTGAAGATCCTGACAGGCCGAGAACCCCCAAAGCATCAGCATATTACTACTCAAAGGTGATTGAGAGAAATGGATTTGCTGAGACTGCAGCAAAGGGTAACATGCAAATATATGGAAATAAAATTGAGATCACAAGACTCCCTAGTCTGCCACCATCTGAAGTTCCTTCAAAAGCAAAGGTTGTTTGGGAAAAGTTCTCTCCTCAGACCAAGTTTGAGAGACAGCTTTATCACTACGGAACATTTCCAGAGGGATTCCATTGGGGTGTCTCGTCTTCAGCATATCAGGTAGAAGGTGGCTGGAATGCGGATGGAAAAGGACCAAGTGTTTGGGATACTTTCACTCAAAAACCTGGTAATATCCCAAACAATGACAATGGTGATGTTGCATGTGACAGTTACAACAAAATAGATGAGGATCTACACATGTTGAGAGCACTGAAAGTGAAGACTTACAGATTCTCCCTGTCGTGGTCTCGAATTTTTCCCAATGGCTATAAATCTTCTCTTAACCAGAAGGGGGTGGACTACTACAACAGGCTCATAGATGGTCTCATAGCAAACAATATTGCACCCATGGTGACTCTCTACCATTGGGACCTGCCACAGGCTTTGCAGGACATAAATGGTTGGGAAAACCCTGAAATAATTAACATATTCAGTGAATATTGTGACTTCTGCTATGCAACATTTGGAGACAGGGTGAAGTTTTGGAACACATTTAATGAACCCCAGACAATTGCATGGTCTGGATATGGACTGGGTCAAATTCCACCTAATGTGAAGCAACCCGGAGATGCTCCATACAAGGTTGCACACAACCTCCTGAAAGCTCATGCTCAAGCATATCACACTTATGATGAGAAATACAGGGCATCTCAAGGAGGTCTGGTATCCATTAGTCTGAACGCTGAATGGACAGAACCCCTAGATGTCAATGTCCCTCGAGAGGTGGTGGCTGCTGATCGAGCCCTTCAGTTCCAGCTTGGTTGGTTTGCACACCCCATCTTTAAAAATGGCGACTACCCTGATGCCATGAAGTGGCAGGTTGGCAATAAAAGTGAACTTCAAGGCTTGACAGATTCCCGGTTGCCTTCTTTTACTGACCAAGACAAAGCCTTTATCCAAGGAACAGCTGATGTGTTCTGCATTAACACATACACTACCAAAGTCGTGCGTCATGTGACCAGCAGACTAAATATTGAGTCTTATCAAACAGATCAGGATCTTGAAAAGGACAATGCAGATGGCTCTGAAAATACAGCTGTTAATGAGCAGAAGGCTGTTGCTTGGGGACTCAGGAGACTTCTTAACTGGTTAAAGGAAGAGTATGGAGACCCTGAGATTTATATTACGGAAAATGGTGTAGCTACAGACACTGCCATAACAGTTGATGACACTGATCGCATATTCTTCCTGAAGACCTATGTTGATGAGGCTCTTAAAGGTATGCTAACAATGGTTCTCATTCACTAACTGCGCATATTTGTGCATAGAATCCAAATAAAAATTTGTTTTTAATGCTATTACAGAATCTACATTTTAGATATATTTATTTATTATATTATTAATAGTAAATGCGGCCTAATGTTTGTAATAGTGTTATACTGCCAACTGTTCAACCTGACACACATTTACATGCATTCTCTTTTTAGCACACAATCTGGATGGGGTACGTGTTAAGGGTTACATTGCTACCTCTCTAATGGACTCCTTTGAGTGGCTGAAAGGCTACACTGTTGGCTATGGACTACACTATGTAAACTTTAAAGATTCAAGTTGGCCGAGAACTCCGAAGCGCTCCGCTCACCTCTACTTTGAAATAATGAGAAATAATGGCTTTCCACTGCCAGCGGAGGAAGAAATGTTATATGGACATTTCCAAGAGGGATTTATATGGAGCACGGCAACCGCTGCCTATCAGGTACAATCCATTTGAACAAATACACTTTATTTTGATAGTCCAGCTTAGACATTCTGCTGACTATAAGTAACTTTACAACATGTCAACTACAAGTTATTAAAGTATTAGTAGACTGTCTGCTCAATATTTGCTAATGCTTTATTTTGATGGTTCCCCAACAGACGTCTACTGACTATAAGTACATTTGCAAGTACATGTCAACTTATTCTACTAACCCTACTCAGAACCTAAAAGTCTATTAAAGGGGTCATATGATGCTGCTAAAAAGAACATTATTTTGTGTATTTGGTGTAATGAAATGTGTTTATGTGGTTTAAAGTAAAAAAAACACATTATTTTCCACATACTGTACATTATTGTTTCTCCTCTATGCCCCGCCTTTTTGAAACGCGTCGATTTTTACAAAACTCATCGGTCTGAAAAAGCGAGGTGTACTGTGATTGGCCAGCTATCCAGTGCGTTGTGATTGGCCGAATACCTCAAGCGTGTGACGGAAATGTTACGCCCCTCACCATACTGTGTTGATGCCGTGTCCCGGCCGGAGCAACGAGACAAAAACATTAAAACCCATTACAAACGAGGCATTTGTTGCATCCAGTGGGGACATAATTACAGATTATAATGACTTATACTATCGTTTTACGCGTTGCGTTGCATTGCGCCGCGTAAACATAAAACCCTGTCTGCATTTGTGATCAGAGAAATGACAAACAACAAGTGCTACTCTAACACTGCCCAAAACTCACGTTTGAATCATCAGTAGCAAATCCTTTAAATGAAAACGTACTTACAGAATGTGAGTCAGAACTGCCGGCATTGTAGTCTACTCTCCCAGGATCAGGAAACAGTCCTCCATAAAATGTGCTGCACACATCTGAATATTTGGGTTAAACTGTTCTGGAACAGTGTTGTAAATACAACTTAACCACTGATTTGTAGTCGTGTCCTCTTTTGGAAGACCAAACAAAGTAGTTTCGCTTTCACAACGAAAAACACAGCGGCCTAGCATGAGCGAAAGCCCCGGCTTAGCCTGAGCTGAAGCCGGGCAAGAGTGAGCTGAGGCGGCGGGGTCGAGAACGGCGGTCCCGGCGAAGGAGCGGTGAAAACGGTGAAAGCCAATCCGGCGATCCACAGCACTAAGTTGATGTATTTCCTCAGCGACCAGCACAGATCAGCTCTAGGCATGACGAAGCGGATATCGTCCTCTTTTGGAAGACCAAACAAAGTAGTTTCGCTTTCACAACGAAGCACACAGCGTCTTCAGGACATGGCGGCAGCGGCAACAATACTACAGTGAGAATAAAAGTTACGCCTTCTTTCTTTGCGTGAACATTTGGGCGGCGTTATGCAAATCTTCCCACATAGTGAGGTAGATATGTGGGGGCATGTTCGAACGAGCCGTTTTAGGTAGGTGTGGCTAACTCTTAACTTTTATAAAGAATATCTCTTTGGATTTGAGACTTTAGTCTTTGCAACTTTACAGATCTTCTTTATGCACCAAGAGCTTGTAACACTCTAAAGAGAAAGGAAAAAATGAAATCGCATCATATGACCCCTTTAATACTCTACTAATACTCTGAGAGTTAGTTTACATGTAGATGCAAATGCATGAGTTTAAATGTAGTTGCAAAGTTACTTATAGTTAGTAGAATATCTAAAGTGGACTATCGAAATGAATCGTATTTGTTCTGAGTAACTTCAAGTTATGACATTTTTTCATGTTATGCTCAAACACTACAGATAGAGGGCGCCTGGAGAGCCGATGGAAAAGGTCTCAGCATTTGGGACAAATTTGCTCATACTGCTTTAAAGATATCGCAGGATGAAAACGGTGACATTGCCTGTGACAGCTACAACAAGATCGCTGAGGATATCAATAGTCTCAAAACACTGAGGGTCAACCATTATCGGTTTTCTATTTCATGGCCCAGAATTATGCCAGATGGAACGACCAGGAAAATTAATGAAGCTGGACTCAACTACTATCATAGGCTAGTGGATGCTCTTTTGGCAGCCAATATCAAGCCACAGGTCAAATATTTTTAATAAAATTGCATGTAAAAAAAATTATTGCTCTGGTAGCCTAAAAGAATTTGACTCATTTCTGTTAATCATTTTGAACTGGCAGGTGACTTTGTACCACTGGGATCTTCCACAAGCACTCCAGGATGTTGGTGGCTGGGAGAATGACACAATTGTCGATAGATTCAGAGACTACGCTGATGTTGTATTTAACAGTCTGGGAGACAAAGTAAAGTTCTGGATAACTATAAATGAACCCTACAATGTTGCAATGGTAGGACATGGCTATGGAAGTGCAGCACCAGGTACCATTCGCACTGAAAATGATCTTTTTCCTTTTTGTAAATATGATTTAGCTTATAGATTTCTTTGCTAACAGTTAATAATGTAACATAAGGTTCTTGATGTTCTATTTCTGTCCAGGTATAAGTTTCAGACCAGGCACTGCGCCATATATTGTGGCACACAACCTCATCAAAGCTCATGCTGAGGCCTGGCATGTGTATAATGATAAGTATCGTGCCAAACATGGTGGCATTGTTGGCATCACAATAAATTCTGACTGGGCTGAACCGAGAAACCCATACAAACAGGAAGACGCTGATGCTGCCTTGCGTGTAGTTCAGGTACAGTGTCATGGATGCAGAAATATTTAAACTACGAAAGTGTTGTTAAAGTAAAACAAATTTTTTTTTAAAAACATTTATTAATTGTAATAAAATAAATTTAAAATAAAATGGAAAATGTAAACTTTCTTTTATTTCAGTTTTTTGCCAAGGCAATTTTTAAAAAATGATAAAAAAAATAGACATATTTTAAAAAAGAAATAAACAAAAACTAACACAAATGACTAAAACATGCAACAAAATTACCAAAACTTTAGCTAAAATTTTCATTAAAATGTAAAATGTAAAATATTAATAAATTCTAAGGTAGTATAGTAATGATACTAAAATCACAATAACCGTGTGCATGAATAAATAATGATGCGCTGCTCATTTTCATCTCTCGAAACAGTTCCAGATTGGTTGGTTTGCTCATCCGGTGTTCAATGGAGATTACAGCGATTTAATGAAGAACATCATTCGAGAGAGAAGTTTAGCGGCTGGCCGACCGCAATCAAGGTAATTTTTGTGAGGAATTCAAAGCCTTGTATTCAAATGCTTATGAATGCTTTTACATTTGCATTTGACATCTAACAGGCTTCCAGAATTTACTCCTGCAGAAGTAGCGAGAATTAAGGGTACTCATGATTATTTTGGATTTAACCACTACACCACTGTCTTAGCCTATAACATGGACTACAAGAACCTCGAGCATTATGATGCAGACAGGTAGCCTTTTAGTTTTAATCAGCGTAGTCACACTGTTTTAGGCCCAATTTGTTTAAAGCATGCATCTATATTATGCTGTCATCTATTCCAGGGGTGCAGGAACAGTTGCGGATCGCACATGGCTGGATTCTGGATCCTTCTGGTTAAAAGTAACCCCTATGGGATTCAGAAAAATTCTGAATTTCATTAAGGAGGAATATGGAGACCCTCCTATTTACATTACAGAGAATGGAGTATCAGAACGAGGGCCAATGAATCTGAATGATGTTCACCGAATCCACTACTATGATAACTATATCAATCAGGCCCTGAAAGGTAAAGAGATTTTTTTTTCATCAGAAACGACAGCATTACGCAAGAGATTTCTGTGATGCTGTTCCACGCATTTTTATTATTGTTGTTTGTTTTAAATTTTAGACTGTTGGTAAAAATTCATTTGTGATAATTGCATAAAATCTCATTTCATTCTTTAGCGTATTTGCTGGATGGTGTGGACATCCGCGGCTATGCTGCCTGGACACTAATGGACAATCTGGAATGGGCGACGGGTTTTGATGAAAAGTTCGGCTTTTTCTATGTAAATCGATCAGATCCTTCTTTACCACGAATTCCTAAGAAATCTGTCTGGAACTATGCTACAATAATCAACTGCAATGGCTTCATAAGCCCAGGAGAAAGTCCACATGAATGTCAGATCCATGAACCTGAAGGTGACATCCACTATCTGTAGTATCTATCTGTCTATTTAGCGGTCATTTGTTTGTTAATTGTATCCTTTTTTCTGTCTGTCGTTCTCTCTGTTGTTTCGTTCATCCATCCATCCATCCATCCGACTGAGTCTTTTCTTGTTTACAGGATCTACTCCTCCACCTCTGTTGGTCAGTTTCTTGGGTTTGGAAGTGTCAGGTCCTGATGCTGAACGGTCTCTTAATGTCCTCTTCAGTCTCACCATCATTGCAGCAGTTGCTGTTGTCCTCTTGGTGTATGGAATTGTCAAGACGTCCAAGAAACAAAAACGTCCTGTAAAGGAACACATTGACCTTGAGAAAAAAGACAAGTTCTGAATATCCTAATCTATATGGTTTTGTGTAAAGATAATTATTAAACAAAAAAAGTGTAATTCTAAATTATTCTTTGCATAATAAATGTAAATTATTCTTTTCATCATAAAATGTTACTTTCCCATTACGGGTGAAAGTGTTGCAATAAAAAAAGAAAGAAAAAAACCTGCAAGCGAACATAAAGAATGAATTCTGTGTCAAATGTCTAATTTCACAGTTAGTGTGTTTTAATAAATTGTAAATATGTCTTTTAAAAAAATATCGGCAATTGCCTCAGCCTTCTCCAGTGGTAAAATATCAGTTCACTTAAAGGCAGGGTATGTGATTTTTCAAAAACACTTTAGAAAACTGATTCGGGCCGAATAGCAAAACAAACTTGTAGCCAATCAGCAGTAAGGGGCGTGTCTACTCGTGATGTGGAGGAGAGCGCGTTCAGTGCATGGGACGGACATTAGCCGAGCCGAGCGACAGAAAGATAGAGATGGCAGATAAAAAAACAAAAGAGGAAAACGTCTGCAGAAC